AACAGTTTCTTTAGAAACTATCAATCTTTATCAATCTATTTGAAGTTACTCTCCTAATAACTAGCTGAACTATAGCATTCGTTCCTTTTTTTATCTGACTACAAAATCCCTGTCACAGAATACATAACCAGCAATTCGCACTGCAGGTAGATTGAAATCTTCAAAATGCTCCTCTCCCATCTTAAAATTCGTCATGCAAACTGTATTTACCTTGTATAACCAGCATTTCGCAAAGCAGGAGGACAACCTGTTCCTGATGTCTTCGAAATGCTCCTCTCGTATTTACAAATTCATCATGCAAATATTTATTTACTTAATATTTCTAGCATTTCGCATAGCAGGTAGATAACCTGCTCAGAATGTCTTGGAAATCCTCCTTTTGTATCTTAAATTTCATTATGCAATTAGGTACTTACTTAGTATTTCTCTAACGTTTAGATCAATCAGTTCATTATCTAAGCCATTGCGCACCCAATCCTCCCCTAGCTAAACAACAGTCAACTTAGTTCATGTTTGGTCAGGGGAGGGGAGGGGTAGGTACACACAGTTGCTTGGATACTGACACTGATACCAAGATTTCTTCTTCTTGTAGTCCTCAAATTAGCAATAAATGTTACAAATGATGGAAAAGATTATAGTCTTGACTCTTCCTTGACAGTTTCTTGTTCAGGTGGTAAGAAAGCATTTGATGTTATGACGCTGTTACTCGGAGGCGATTGGCGGGTTTCTCTACACACCATTCTTTTAAATGCGGTATCGATCTTGGTGCTCGGAAAAATGTACAGCCACGGATTGATGGCGCTGTTGGCGTGACCAAACCAAAAGCACACAAACATGACAATGGGCTGAGGAGTCACCTCAATATTCCATGCTTGCATGACAAATATCATGTGAACCACATTGGCTGGAAGCCTGCAAAGGGCAAAAGCGGAGGTAACAATGATCAGCATCCAAACTATTCTTCTCTTTAGGGTTTCTTGTTGCTCTCGATTTTCTGTCGAATGCTTATTTCGATGTCCTCCATGGAACCATAACCTCCTTGCAATAATAGTATACAGAAAAGACATCACAATCAAAGGGATCAGATAGTTGATCACCACAAGGTAGAGGAATAGGCCACGGATAGCCTTATATGGATCACCCAAAACATAAACAGATAGCATGCATTGGGAATTGTGGTCTTCCACGGTTTGAATAGTTGGAAAAATGGACATTGAAGCCAGTGAAAAAATCCAAATAAATGGTACAGTCAGTTCAGGCTTTCTGAACCAAAGATTGCGGCGGAGATGAACAATGGTATAGTACCTATCGACTGCCATGACTGTCAGGCAGAGAATGGACGCTGTTAATGTGGCATAGGCAATGTATACCACAGCTTTGCACATGACTTCTCCAAATACTTGATGTTGAATCGACCAACCAAGATGAACTTTTCCAGTTCATCCGCGGCCTTACGGATAAAGAGGGCGCCATCCACCTGGAAATTGTTACACAAAGAGAAGTCCTGCGAACCCTTAAACAACTGCGCAGTGACTGTTTGACTGGACCCGACCAATTGCCTGCCCGGTTTGTAAAGCTGGCTGCTGGATGCTTGGCCGGTCCACTCACAACTATCATGAATAACTGTATTTCAAAGTTGTACTTCCCGCATGCGTGGAAACTCGCGCGTATCAGCCCCATTCCAAAAGTTGACACACCTGTCTCGGAAGATCACTTGCGTCCAGTGTCGATTCTTCCCGTACTTTCTAGGGTATTTGAGAAGCTTGTTGCTTCGCAAATGACTGATTTCTGCGCTAGAAAATCTCTCTTTAGAGACACCATCTCGAGCTTTCGTAAGGGGCATTTGACTTCTACGGTACTCTTAGGTATAAGGGACGACCGAGTGAGTGCCATGAAAAGGAAAGAGGTAACTCTTATGGTACTAGCAGACTTTTCGAAAGCATTTGATACCGTTTGTTTTAAAACGGCGATAACCAAGTTGCATCACCTCGGTTTTTCAAAGTATGTCCTCGAATGGCTGGCTAATTACCTATGCGGCAGGAGACATTACGTTCAAATTGATGATCGCAAATCGTCACCNAGTAGCTGGATTTGAGATTACAATTTGTGAATCAATAGCTTTTTGTGTAGTGTGTTATTACAGCTAGTTATATTGTGTATTTGTCATACTTTTATACTGGTAAATATTCTATTACCTACATGACTGAGATTATATTATACACTAATGAAAGAGAAACAATTTTAATAAAGTATGACAATTAGTAATTCAAACATTTGGCCATCTCTTTCTTTTTAGATACAATGAAATATATGAAGTTCATATATTTTGTACTGCGGTATTAGATACATATGATGCACGATCCTCGCAGTAGATAGCGCTATTTATGCAATAGCGAAAATCAGACCTGAAAATAAAAATCAGGCCTGTACGGGACTCGAACCACTGACCTCTGCGATACTAGTGCAGCGCTCTACCAATTGAGGTAACCAGCCAACTGGAAGCAGGCCGTTGAGTTGATTCTTAATAAACCCGTGAAAGTGAGAACACAATATCTTATAAATTTGAAGGTTGCCCATTTATAACACAATAACTTATAAATGGGCAACCTTCAAATTGTTAGGAAAAGAGACATCACACATTCAAGTAATAACAGTGTTTGAAATAGTTTCGCTCAAAACTCAATTGTTCCCTTGGGAAAACATAAACCCACAATGAAGCTGAGGATATTCTATTCAAGCCCCATACCCATATAATTAAAAAGAAAGAGATGGCCAAATGTTTGAATTACTAATTGTCATACTTTATTAAAATTGTTTCTCTTTCATTAGTGTATAATATAATCTCAGTCATGTAGGTAATAGAATATTTACCAGTATAAAAGTATGACAAGTACACAATATAACTAGCTGTAATAACACACAAAAAGCTATTGATTCACAAATTGTAATCTCAAATCCAGCTACTAAGAAATGTGATTTGAAATGATACTTGTCTAACAAAAAATTGGGAAAGTTAGTATGTAAGTTAGGAAAAAATAAAAATGCACCCCTCCTCTTGTCCTAAATTTAACCATGTAATGAAGGTGCTCATTAGGGGTTTCATGGTATCTAACCATGTTAATGAATGTGAGTTCTATGGCAACATTTTTGTTGAGGGGAATGTGGTAAAAGACACGAATTGATGGTAGAGACTAAAAGCAGGGGTATCATTAAGGGCTGGGCAATGGACAAATTGACCAACTGTAAGCACAATTTTGTGTGGATGTTTCAAGCCAAGGCCTTCACTAAAACTCAACTTGTTATAAAGGAGATATGCATCAATATGCTTGAGTGCAAAATCCTTATGCTCACCCACAAAATGTAATGACACCCAAGCAAAAGTGAAATGCATGTGCTATAATTATTGGTAGCTACCTTCTATGACATCCTTTGTCCAAGGACACTTTTCAGCTCCTCCCTGTTGATGTATCACCTGCTCTGTTGTCCGCTCAAAAATGATGTTATTCTTGTCAGAATTTATTCTAAGACAAAAACAAAAACAATTACCAGGTATTCTGTCGTAACAACTTCAACGCTAAGACAAAAGTAACAACAATAAGGTATTCACATAACATCTCAATATTTCAAGCAGCAGCTTAGACTCTGATTTCACTGCTCAATCAAGATAAAGTTTAATATCTTTGAATCTAAAAACATATTACTCACTCTTCGTCAAGATAAAAACCACTAAAGTCATCCTTTTTCAAAAGGAGTTTATATATTCTCCTCACAGCTCTCTAAAAGAATGAAAAAAAATTCAATAATCAATTTGTTCCCCTCTACTAACTATGGTTTGTCCTATTTCTACTTTCACACTTTTTAAAAACCCTGGTTGGTAACGCATACAAGTACAATTAAAAATTAACCTTACCCATCTGTCATTAGAGCAGGGAAGGTCAAAAAGGGTCCAAGAGAAAAAATGATAAAATGAATTTTCATACTAGATAATTCTCGTTGAAACAGAAGGGAGGAAAAAACTTTACTGGTAGGCCTGTTTATGGTAACGGGGATTATCAAGTAAATGTAACCGCATGTAATCATGTGAAATGATTACCGCCAAAATAATTAAGTTAATTATGCATACAATTCGCGCGCCAAACACATGCTCAACATAAAAGAAAATCTTCCACGAAAGAACTGATTCAAGCAAATTATGAACACATATCACACTATTCATGCTCATCAGTTATGTTTTTCTACTCACTCGACAAGCCGGTGGAACCACTACCGTCGTTCGCGTCTGTCTTCTGTTTTGGCGCCGACGGACGTTGCTTGCATTATAAACAGGTTCAAGACGGCTCTCGATCATTAAGTGACCTTCAAGTGCCTCTGAA